TGAAATATTGCATTTGAAATATTTCATTCACATTGCTGCTAGTGTGAAACCCCTATGATACAAAAAAAATGACATCAACATTAAGCCTAAGATCATTTTGTTGCTGATAATGATGATGATGATGATTATGATTGACAACCATAACGATTGACAAGGTAACCTTTAATTGGATAATATAACTCTTTTAGTAGTTCAAAAAATTGATGAAAAAATTTATTTCCCAGTCACAGTTAACCAGAAAACAAACAAAACAGAAATAAAAAAAATGAGGTCGATAAACCATCATCATTATCTTTGAATGAATGAAATGAATGAAATGAAATCAAAGCATCAAAGGTTTGTTGTATTGATTTTTTTTTGAACGACAACGAAGAAAAAAAAATTTGAAATATTTATATAGCCTAAAACTGAAACAAACAAACAAATTATCATTGTTGTTGTTGTTGATAAAACAAACAACCAAATTTATCTAAAAATTATCAAACATAATCGATATGTTCGAAATTGGTAAAAAGAAAACATTCGAAATTATCAATGATAAACTTACATATTTTATCAAATAGAAAATTGTTCATTTGCTTCTGGTTTACAGATGAAATTGATGTTTGTTGTTGATTGAAATCAATAAACGAAATAATAATATTATGAGCATCGAGGATTAATTTTGAAAATCATATTTGCTTTGGTTTCCAACAATAATTTTTTGTTTGTTTTTGTTTTTGAAAAAATCACAGATTGAGAAATTATTATTTGATCATCGTCGCCAGAATCACATCATTATTGATCATGGGATTGATTTTTGGTAACAGTTTGATCATCTGGTCGTTGAGTGGTGAGAGAGAAAAAAACGCAATCATCATTAGAGTTATGTAAAAAAGAAATTTTATCAACAAAAAAAAACTTACGGAAAAACACCCCCCAAAAACAAAAAACATCTGATGAAAAATGATCCCACAATGAATAGGCACACACACAAAATTGATTTTCGATTCACAGTTTTAAAGTGGGATGGAAAAAAACATATGGATGGAATGATTTTCAACAAATAAATGACGACAAATTACATTATGATGATCATTTTACATAATCTTTTCGTCTTGAAATCAATCAATCAACCAATGATTTTGTGATTGTTGAGGTTGATTACTGTCGAGGTTGTTTGTTTGTTTTGATGACGAATAAGGATGCAATCATCGAACAGAATCGTTTTCGTTTTCTCTCTTTCACTTTCAAATAGGCACGCAATTGGGAAATTTGAATCCAACACAGAAAATTAAACAAAAAATTTCATTTTTTTTAGTAAAAAAATCAAACGGGGTGAAACACTGATGAACGAAACGAAACGAAACAAAACAGTAAAATTCCAAAAACAGAGTTCAGAAGTAAAACAAAACAAAACAAACGAATTACAGTTTGATCACAAAAAAATGTGCGAATTTTTTTCGATCGTTGCCAAAAAAAAAAGAAGGCCGTTGATGATGATCATCATCATCGAACCAAAATTAGCATCATTTATGGAAGAAGGAAAAAAAAATTTCAATAACATTCATAACTTTGATGATGATGATGATGCGACAACAACGAGCAACATTGATGATGCTAAATTTTTCAAAAAAAAAACTTGTTGAAGAATAAACGACAACGTCAATGTTGTTGTTGTTGTTGTTGTTTGCTGTTGATGGTGATGGTGATGGTGATGATCGTCGAAAATACAAACCAAACAACCAACCAACGAACACTGTGAATACATGCATGGAGAAAGACTCAGTGAAATGAGTGAGTCAAATACTGCAGTGTTGAGTGCTATGTGCTGTGTGAGCCACGATGAAAATTTTTTTTTTTTGTTTATATGTGAAGCTAGCACACACAGGTAGGCAGGCAGGTAAATATATATATTGAGAAGGAAAAAAAATTTCGGGATGCCTAAAAAACAAAAATTTCTTTCGTTGTGAATAGGATACCTGTTTTTTTTCATATACCTGTGGCTGGTGTGTTGCTTATTGCTGCGGTGTGGACAAACCAAAAATTTTGTTTTTTTTTTGAAGCTGCTACCACCACCACCACCATGGTGCAACAACCAAAATACCACAATATCATTATCATCAAGTGGTGGTTATTGAGAATATCTTGATGATGATAGAGTTGTGTGTACTTACCTTTTTTTGCCATCTCTATATTTGTGTAAATCAATATATTGATTACAGGTAGATTTTTTTTCTTTTTGTCGTTGCTATTTCGGTACAAAACAAAAAGGTATATTGAAATTGGAAATCGACAGGACGAAAAAACATATATTGATTAATATCGATTGATTGGAAATTTTTTTTTGATTGTCAAATGAAAAAGAAAATCAAACGTAAAACCGATACAAGGGGAAAAATGGCCTATTTTTTCCCAATTCAGGAATAAGAATCGAATAATATACCTGAATTGATACTATCGATATATTCGTTCATTATTTTTGAGAATTTTGTCGATGAATGCCATCTATTGGAAAAATGATGAAAAAAAAGATTTACGAAAAAAATTTGAAAAATGTAAAATTTTTTTAATTTTTTTTTTCAAATTTTAAGAATTGATAAACGAAATAATTTTATAAACGATAAACATAATGGTCATAGTGATGAATGGATAAAAATGTAAATCTTTCCATACTGTCCAAACATTTTCGATTGTTGATGACTGGGGAAATTGAAATTAGAGAAAATTTTTACTCAAAATAACCAAACAATCAAACAACTTACATCTGGTTGACCATCGAATGTTGCACCAAGAAAAGCAAGATGAAACAAAGCTAATATGGTAAAGAATAGATTTGTCAATCGTACCGACCAAACATTACGAATATTTCGATGTCCATGACGACAAACTAATGAATAATTATTATCATCATTATCATCATCATCATCATAAACATAATAATCATATTGACATTTTCTTGATTCAACACAAGCAGACCAAAAATTTGCTAATGATTTTCTTAATTTAAATTCAGCCTGTGTAATCAATCCCAATGTTAACAATACTGTCCATATTTGAAAATTAAAACCATGTAGATAAGAACTTAGAAAATAAGTAGCCAAAATGGTTAGATAAATATTTTGTAGATTATTTTTCATAATTTGAAAAACATCTATAACAGAAAAAACGAAAATTTGAAAACTTTATCAACAAAAACTTATCAACAAAAAAAAACTTACATCTTTTCAACCATTGATGCATAGGAATATTCCATGCAACAACAACATCAACCAATGATCTTGGCCATTCAATTGATAATGGTTTAGTTATTTGTTGTTGTTGTTGATCAAATTTCCATAAATCAAACATTGATTGACCCAAATAACAAATAAAATAATGTGAATAATGAAATTGTATGGCAATCGAATATGAACGTAAAATTCGAATGATAAATAACCAAACATACGATGTTTGTGAATCTTCCGCTAATATTCCACGAATAAATGCATCCAAATATTCGAATACAATATGATTGAAAAAATAATCAATCAAACAAGTTGAACAAAGTAAAAATAATAATGATAATAATAATGAACAAAATGAATTGATAAAATTTTGTTTCAAGTTTTGATTGGTGGCAAATAATTTTTTCGGATCATTGAATGGATGCCATATACCAAGAAGAATCGTACAAGGATGTAAAATATATGCACTGTATTCCAAAAGAATTGCTGGAAAATCATCATTATTTTTTAAATCTTTTTTCTTCTTTGAATAAAATTGTTTTTCATGAAAATATGAAATTGATTTCATTAGGATAAGCATCAGATTTGGTCGTAATTTTATCCAATCGGATGAATCGGTAATGAAGAAAATGATAAATTCATTCAAGGCGATCACAATAAGATGCGTAGACCAAACAAATTTCAATCCATAATAATCATGGATATCGTAAGTGATTAATATTGATATAAAAATACTGGACATAATTATCACAACGGTAAGAAATAATAATTGATTAAAATTTTCAAAATAATAATGATTTATCAATAATGAATAACCACTGATGATCAATATGAATTCATTTGCTTGGATTGTAAATCGTTTTAATCGTTGTTGATGATTTACGAATGTTATCAAAATAAATGCCAAAAAATTCACTGTTAATATTGGCCATAAAAATTGCCACCAAACATCTTGTAATGTTGGTCGTAAACAATGAAAAAATAATTCCTGTATTGTTTGTTCGGAATTTCGATGCATATGATCATGATAATAATCAGAATCATCACCTGAAATGAGAGAAAGAAGAATTTGAAAAATTAAAAAATTTTTGAAAAACAAAAAATTCTAACCATAAGAATCAAGAAAATCTTCATGTTCTTCATATGAAGAATCATCAAGTAAATCATCATAGATAAAATCTTCAGCAGCCAAAATATCCATTTTTTTTTGCTGTTGTTGTTGTTGTTGTTATCAAAGAATGAATTAATTCTATATTGATCAATTGGAAAATGTTTTTTAATTAATGAAATTCATGAATGTTGCAAAAGTTTTAAATGATGAAAAAGAAAGTGAGAAAGTGAAAATGAAATGATAAATTAATGGCGCTGTTTTTGTTGTTGTTGTTGCGGTGATGGTGGTGGTGGTGGTTGTTTAACATCAGTATGAATCATTTGTGATTTTTGTAGCCATTTTCGAATGTTATCGATAAAATTTTCATAAACAATATCAAATGAATGATTTCCATCAATAACAATAACTGATTGATCTTTTTTTCCTGCACAATTGATTCGATTCCATATTTCATCTGGTTTTTCTATGAATAATTTTTCATGTAATTTATGTATTTTTCGTAGATATTCCTTTATTTTCAACAAAATGAATTGGTGATTAGTAGTTTCAGGATCTCTAAATATAAAGAAACTCACCATCGAAATTGCATCTTCTTCTCGCCTAGATCTTTTACGTATTCGTTCATGTACAACTTCTGGTTCGGTACGTAAGTAGACAAACAAATTGACCATTGTTGGTGGTTTACTACGTAAATGATCAAAATATTGATCAAGTATACGATATTCAACAGGTGATAATTCACCACTAAACAAAAAGAAAATTTTAAATTTAAAAATTCAAAGGGAAAAAACCCTGATTATTATACATACGATTGTGAAAAATTTTCAACAAAACCAAAACGATTCGAATAAATTGAACGTTCCATTAAATGAATAAAATGTTTATCTTTTTTCAATGTTTTTCGATTCAATTCAAATTCATTGAATATTTTTGACATTTGATTAAATCTTGTCAGTTGACAATAATGTTCGAATGTAAATGCCCAACGTTTTGGATTTGTATACATTTTTTGTAAAAGATTTTCATATTTTTGATTTTCATCATTAACCATTGTTAATGGAATATTTGTCCATAATTTTATTGGTTCAGGTGTAACAATCATCGATATATTCGGATCAAAATCTAATGATATTTGATCAATTTCATTAAATTTTTTATAATCATTATTATTATGATTATGATGATGACCAAATTGATCGATTAAACGACATAATAATGATGTTTTACCACAACCAATATTTCCTTCAATACAAATCTATTATTTTTGACATGCAATATTTTTTAAGAATTTTTGTAATCAAAAATGATATGAGAAAAAAAAATGATTGATCGAAGCACAAACAGACGATTGAACAACAACAAAGAACAAAAAGCAAAAGATCCAAAATTCAACTTACCCGATAAAATTTGCCAAGATTTTGATTCATAATTCAAATAATGATAATACTTTTTTGTTACCAAAAATCGATTTTTCGAATCTTTCTTTTTTCTTAAAACGCGTGAATATTCTTTGTCAATATTGTCATTGTCGTTCATAAAGAACGTTCTTGAATTTTTTTCAATTTTTTGCATTTTGAAATTCATCAATCAATCAAAATGTCTTCATTAAAATACCTGATGAATGTTGAAGGAAAATCTGGTCGTTTCAATAATCTTATCTATGTTCCTGGTAGAAGAAAAATCAATCAATTTATATGGCAAATTGTTTGTTATTTTGGTGGTGATATACAAAATTTTCATGATAAAATGATCAAGCAAAATAATGATCAGGAATTTTTACAATATTCATTGGAAAATGTTGCCACAAAATTATCGCAAAGATTCAATGATGAACATGATATTCTGGTTGTTCAACCATCACAAACTATTAATTCATTTTCATTATATAAGAATTTTGTTAATTCCACCAAACCTTATGGAACGCCATCATTTGATGATAATGATCGCTGTTGTTTTGATCATTTTCTACAATTATTAATGAATGTCGCTAGCGAACAAATCAAATTAAACGTCGACACCATAGAAGTTTGTTTGATTGGTTTTAGTAAAGGACAAATTGTTATCAATCAAATGGCAAGATCGATACATTCGATTTCAACCGAACAATCAATCAAATTGAAATTCAACAATCTTTATCTATTAGATGGTGGTCATAATGGTGTAAAAGATTTTTGGATTACTCAACCGGAATTAATCGATTCGTTTATCCGTCATGGTTGCCGAAATTTTCATCTAGGTGTAACCGACTTTCAACTAAACAAACCACAAAATATTCGTCAAGAATTCGAAACATTTTATCAAATTCTTTGTTCCAAACCCGGTGTAAATGTTAAAAAAACCTATCTTGCACAGAATAATTTCCCAGATTTATCACCAATCAATTTACATTTCAAACTTTTAGATTATTTATTTCAGAATTTATTGTAAACAAAAAGTGAACGAAGAAACCAAAAACAAAAAGCTAAATAAACATTATCAACACAAAATATGGCAATGGAGAAGTTTTTTGGCAATCATTGTTGTTTTTTTCTTCAATAAATAATTTACAAAAACCAAGAAGAAGAAGAAGCTCATTCAATAACCATCGATCCATGGTAGACCAGTGGGAACTTCTTTCTTATAGATTAGATATTTTGGTCCGAAAAAATTGATCAATGTTATCTCTTCGAATTGAATACGTTGTTTGAAGAAACGCCATGATACGATTGCATAGCCAACCAGGCTGATTGGATTCTGTAATAATATCTGTGTTTAAATAGAAAAAGAACTGTTAAACGGAACAAAAAAAATCGAAAACAAAATCGAATGTACAAACCTGTGTACCGATTGACCAATAAAACCAACCAACATAAGATGGATGACGAAATATTGAATAAATACCAGTGGTAATTAATTGATGATCAGAATAATGATCAATTTGAATAATATGATTAAAATTATGACCAGCAGTATACATGGCTAATTTTCTTAAACTATCACCAACTATACAGATAATCAATCCTGTATATGTAAGGTATGGATGAAATATAAATTTCTGATTCGGAAAATACCATGATTCAATACAAAATTCCGTTAATGAAATAGCTATGGCTAAATGATATTCAATACTATTATCAAGTAAAAATGCTTGTATTGTTATTGAATTATTATTATTATTGATTAATGATGTTGATTGAAATTCACCATAATGAAAAAAACTTAATATCATTAGATAAAGGCCAAATGAATGATATATTGGTGATAATGATGATGATTGATTATCATATAAATAACCAACAACAGCTAAATGAAGACCGAATGAAAACACTGAACTCAATCCTAATGTTATGAGAATTACCTGTAAACATAGGGTAATAACGTTAATTGGAAAAAGTTTTTTTTTGACAAAATTATACTAACCACAACATAGAATCGATTCGAATAAAATTGACTAAATAATAATATAAATGTAATAAAAATTATGGCCAAAAGTAATGGAAAAAAATATTGCCATTGAAAATATAATTGATTATTATTATCGAATAAAATTATTGAAAAAAATAATGATAATATGATTGGACCGAAAAATGATTTGATCGCAATCGATGCGGCCAATTTTTTATCACAATCATCATATTTATTATCAATATTTTCCATCAAATTCGGAGAGAGAAATCTTTTTTCAAATTTTTTTTCAAAAATTCAAAAAAAAAAAATCAAAATTTCAGCTGAGAATATATAAACATTCGCAAAGCGCTTTCAGTATAAGACGTTCCGAATGCTCATTTTCAAAAATTTTTTTTTTCAAAAAAACAAAATTCATTTGCAAAAGATAATTTATTAGCATCTTTTATCAAAATAAAAAAAACATTGAAAAATTAATTTTGTTTTTTTTCCATTGTTCATTTCATGTTCTCCAAGTTTATTTCTTTCCTTTGGCTTTACCAGCTCCAGCTTTTTCAGCTTTTTTCGATTTGAATTTTAACAATGCAAATTTTTTGTCAACAATTCGGTTGTACTTTTTTGGAAAATGATGAAATTGAATTAGATTTTTTTGGAGAAAAAAATTAAAAACAAAATACTTACACGTTGTTTAGTTTTGTACAACTTGAATCGATCGAAATCAGTCATGTTGGATTTCTGAAATCAGAGAAAAAAAATCAGATTAGACATTGAAAATTCAATCAATCAATCAATCAATACAAACCAATTGTTGTTGTTTTAAACGAAGTGCCAATTTAGTTTCACCAAATTTTTTTTCAATTTCATTTTCTTTCCAAATTTTTTGTATGTTTTTCGAACTGGTACCATATGGAATACGTAAACGAAATTTAGTCAAACGTAATCGTTTGAATGGTATAGCTTGTCTTGGAACACCGGTTGATGCTCCATCGATCAATGCACGATTTTGATCAACAATATCAACAATTGTGACCAATTTTCCGGCATCTTGACCAAAATTGATCAATGCCACGCGGCCAATTTGAACAAGATATTTGGTTGGCTATAATTAGATTAATGGAGAATAAAATCCAGAAAACATTACATCAATCATTCGAACTTACCATTTTATATTATTTACACGATGAAAAAAATTCCGAATGATTTTAATCAAAAATGATTTGAAATTTCTTGATTCGCAAAAAAAAAGAAAACAAACACGCGGAGCACACACACAAAGCAAAGAGGAAACGAAAAAAACTCACATGTCATCCGTTCATCAACAATGTTACTTTTCACGATTATTTATTCCAAGGTAGAAGCATAGAAATATGTTGTGACCACTTCTACATTCTCAACAAACCTACACACATGTATGCATGTTTGACGTGTCATTTCAAATTTGAAAAAACAAAAACAAAAAAACAAAAAACAAAGAAATTTCGAGAAAACCAAAAAAGAAAAAAAAATTTATTCATTCAAAATTTTCATATACAAATAGACAAAAAGAAGATCCGAAAATTCTGCTGTTTTTTTTTATACAATCATATCATATCATCAGCAAAAGAAAACAAACAAACAAACAAAAACCCCAGAATACACAGTGTAAAAATTTTTAGTACCGGAAGATTTAGTATAAGCCATTTTGGAGAGAAGGAAGTAAAGAGAGAGATGATAATTGCAGTTTGACTGGAAAAAAAAGATACTGAGACGAAATAAAACTAAATAATCTTCAAAGAAGAATAGTGCGTTTTTGTAATTTATTTTTTTTGGTTGGATTACATTACAAATGGGAGAGAGAAAAAAAAATTATATGAAAAAAATGTTTTTACAATTCATCATGTTTTTCATCAATTTTTTCTTCATCATCCAAATCAGCATCTTCATCTTTATCCAATTCTTTATCCACTTCATCGGCTTTTTTAGCTTCATCTTCTACTTTACGTTTAGCTTCTTCTTCAGCATCTTGTTCTTCTTTCATTTTCTTTTCAGCTGGAATTCTATTTTTCAATAAATCTTCAGCAACTTCATCGGCTTCAGTTTCCGAATCAGTAATAAGTACATTATCGAAAATAGTACCTGCTTTAACTTGCCATAAATCAAAACCGGCAGCACAGATTTCTTTTTGCAAATACAATTGTGGATCAGCTTTATATTCAGGGTTTGAAATTTCTGGATGAACCCATGGTCCTTTATAATTAGGATTATCAATTTGTTTTGGTTTCCATTCACCTTTATATTCTGGATTATTAATCTGTGGTGGTTCCCATTCACCATCCATTTCATCATCCCAATCTTCTGGTTTAGTTGCTTCTGGATCTGGTATAAATTCCGGTTTATCCCAATCTTCGGGTTTTTTATCTTCTGGATCATCAATTTTTGGACGATCATCCCAATCATCAGGTTTTTTTGCATCAGGATCTTTAATTGTTTTTGGTGGCAAAAAATTCCAATCACTTTCTAATTCACCTTTTTCAACAACTTCACCATCGATCATAACTTTATAGGTATTATCCGGTTTAACAACCAAACGATAAAGATGTGTATGTACATCATCTTTACAACGAATTTCTTTGTTAATCAAATGATTTTTACCATCATAATTAAATATCACATGAACTTTTTTTGTTCCCGGTCCACAAATATCCGGACCAAACATAATACGATAAGGTGATTCACCATGTAAATCAGTTTGATCAAGACCACAATCAAATAATTTTATATAACCACCACCACAATCAATATTTTGTTCATGTTTTACTGAATATTGTATAATAAGATCTTTGCCTTCATTGGAAAATGCTTCATTGTCGAATTTGGAAGAAAGTGCATAGAAACGTGCATCCTGTGATGTTTGTATACCTTTATCTTTTTCAACATCACCATAAAATTTACCAGCAGTCCATTTAAAATCACCAAATTCTTTATTCGGATGTTTCGATTGTACCCAACGTTTTTGCCAATCTGGTTCAATAAAATCTTCACGAAAATAGATTTTTGCATAAATAAATTCACTAAAGAATGTCAATAACGAAAACAAAACAAACAATTTTGAATTCGTCATCTTTTTCTAAATGATATTCAATAGGGAAAAAAACAGAAAAGAATAATTAGTTGGACACCATTCTTTTCAATCAAAAAATGATAAAGAATCAAACAAACCATTTCGGGAAAATGAATAATTTTCAATCAAATAAAACAATCAAACAAAAAAATGAGAAAAAAATGACTTTAGTGTAAACGAGAGATCAAAGAAGAATGGAAAGAAAAAAAATTTGTAAATGAAAATCGTGTTCGAAGAATTTTTTCAATTATAAATGAAAGGGAAACAAAAAAACTTTTCGCTTTTTAGAACTTGTTCAAATTTAACAAAACAACGACGACAACGATGATGATGATTGAAAAAAAAATTTTGTAAACCCGGTATTTTTAAATGGAAAAAAACTATCAAAAAAACAGCGTTTTTTGTTTGTTTGTTTGTTCGTTCATTCACCATTCTTTTCATTTTTTTTTTCTATGATTAAAGAAACGGCGATCGTTAAGTTACACCAACCTGTGTACATTCAAAGACTTTGGTTAAAATCGATCGACCAATCAGAGAACGACATGTGTATAAAACCATAACCACACACAACATTCGAATGTTTTAAGGGCTCCATCATCAGGGTGGGGGCGCCATCATTTATAATTGTCAAAATTTTTTTTGGTGATAAAAAAACATAGAGATTTTTTGTTGTTGCTGTTTCAAAGAATTAAAATATGCAGGTTTTTTTTCAATTTAATCTTGATTTGATTTGGATACGTGGAATTTTCTCGATTTTTGCCTAAAAAAATAATGATAACATTTTTGTTTGCTCATTTTAAAAGCATGATTGGTTTTTTAAAAATAATGTCATATGTCATTGGATAAGGGTCAGAAAAAAACTGAAAAATGGCAAATGTCATTGAATTGTCGAATGAATTTTCACAAAAAAAAATTGAAAAAAATAAAAGGAAAAGCTTACGACACCGAGTGTTCCCAAGTGGTCACCCTCCCAAGTACTGACTCGGCTCGACGTTGCTTAACTTCGGTGATCAGACGAGAACCGGTGTTCTCAACGTGATATGGTCGTAAGCTGAAATACTTAGGATTTTTATTTGATTTTAACGAAAAAAAAAATTATCAAAGAGAAAAAAAAATTCAACAACAAAAAACAAAAATGAAAAATTTGACAGAACAAAAAATAATAAATTCTTTCGAAAAAATATGTAGCAAAACATCAATTTAGATTATTCGGGGTTTTGGTTTAAGTTTCGGTTTCATCAACGGTATCGATGGTTTTATTCGTGGTAATCGATGATCATTTTCATTTTTTATTGATTGATCATTACCATTATCATCATCATCAAAACCATTATCATTATCACGATCAATGATAAATGAATCAATCGAAATTGGAAATAAACGATTCGGTAATAGCTGAAAATCGTTGTTGGTCGAATGGAAATGATTCGAATTCGAATCATCATTCAAAACATTCGAATGATTTGAATCATTCATCACTATCGATATATCGATTAATTGACTGTTATCATTCGTTTTTCTTGACAATAATGATTGCCGTCGGGTATCGATCAATGTTCGAAGTGGATTATTATCGTTATCAGAATTTCCCGTTGTTGATGATATTGTTGATGATCGTCCACTAAGAGCCGATTCATAACCCGAACTGTTTGAATTACTTGCAGTCGCACTTGTAGTCGCTGTCAATGTTGATCTCCCTGCTGTCGCATAACTTTCATTTTCTAATGGCCATGATATTTTTGGTTTAAATCGATTATCAATATATTGTTGTTGTTGTTGTTTCCAAATATCAACATGATCAAAATTTAAAAGATAAAAATTCCTTTCCATTTGTGTTGTTGTCATTGAATTCGACGACGACGACGGCGATGATGGTTCATCCAATTCTGATTTATGTTTTTTCGAACTAGATTTCGCAAATTGACGATTCGAAGAAATTGGCTGTGATCGTATTCGTAATGATGTTATTGGTTTTTTCCATGATGATAATAAATGTTCGATAAATTTTAAACGATTACGATGGCCACGATCATCCGAATGTTGACCAAATGCATCATAAACTTTTCTTGTCCATAAACGATCACGATGAAATAATTTTGAAGAAATTTTATCCACTTCCAATTGCGGTTGAATAATATCCAAATCAATACGAATTGGTCGTTTTTCATCATCATATTGATATGGTTGATAACTCAAAGATGAAGATCTATATTCCGGTAATATTTGCTGTTCAATCCAATCAAATATTTCCATTCGATCTAAATGACGATAATGATAATCATTGAAGCAATTACCATCACCAGACATCGTTGATGATAATTGATTATATGCATCGAATAAACGTTTAGTTTCATCAAACCAATAATGAATTCGTTGTTGATTCTTCGAATTCGCCATACCATTCAATAAATCAAAATGTATTATACGTATTGTACGATAAAGATTACGTTTTGCTTGTAAATAAACACGCCATATTAATAACAATTCAGGTATTTTTTGATAACTCATTTGTAAATATAAATTTGCCTGATGAAATAATAATTCAGTTTCTTGTGATAGTTCATAGATTTTTGGCCATTTCCATGCCAGTCCATGATTATCGTTACCATTGCAATTGATAATTTGTGAACGAATCCATTTAAATAATTCAATTTCACGTTCTTCAGCCAAACATTGATATTGATAAACATGTAATATATTTGAATCTAAATCGGTTTGACATTTGGTTACAACTGTTAATGGTGATGATAAATGAAGAAATTGATCACCAATAATACGAAATAATATTGATGCTAAATGTAAACGTTTTTGATCTTGATGATCAAATTGATTCATAAATTTTTTATAATTTTTCAACGTCGACGATGTTGTTGTCGTGGTAGCCGTTTTCATCATCAAATTCAAAGCAAAATGATAAATAATCGATATCAATTCAAACATTGTATCTTTTTCCGTACGAAATTTCGGTGGTTGTTGTATTGAATCACTCCAATAAAATTTAAATTCATCGGATAATTTCGAAGTTGATTCATAACTTAATTTGGATTTTGGATCATCAAAACACCATATAAATCCATATAAAAGATTTAAATATTTGCATAATAATTCGAAAGATTCATCATCATCATTATCATCAGCTAATGATTCCAATAATTGTCGACGATAATCACGTAAATTTGATGTAATTTCTGTACATTCAATACGAAATTTTTTCGTATATTTCATTTCAAATGATTCATATGTTGTTTGTTTTTGGAAATTTCGATGATACCAATTTAGTTTGTTTACAAATGTATTGTTTTCCATTGTCAATGAACAGGAAAATGATGATTCCGATGAACTACTACAATCCCAATCAGTATCCCAACTGATTGGTGTTTGATTTCCAATCGATAATGATGATTGATTCATAATTTTGGTTATCGAAACAAAAACAAAAAAACAAAAAACAAAATGAAAATACGACGTGTGAATTTTTTTTTGTTTTGTTTGGTTTTTCGCTTTTTGAAAATCTGATGAGTCAAATTTTGTTTGTTCATTACTCATAGTTTATTAATTTTTTAAAATTTTAAATTTTTTTTTTTTAAATTTTTAAAATTTTTAAATTTTTTAAATTTTTTTTTTCAATAATTATCAAATTCACTTTTACCATCCGTTGATGATGGTTTTGGTGGTAATAAAAGATTAAATTTTGGTCTTTGATGCATAATCGGTATTGCACGTGGTAATTTATCTTCAAAACGATCATGAAATATTGCTATATGATCGGGTGGTAATGCTGCTAAAATTGGATCATCATCATAATCAGGTTCATGACTACGATGACCATGTCCACCTCCATGACCACCACCACCACCAACACCATTATCATCCGATCCAAATCTATGATCATCAACTTTTTGTCGATATTTTAAATACCATATACAATTCGCTATCCATGTATATAATTTTATCAACAAAAACAAACCAACTAAAAAACTAATTATATAAATTGGATAAAGATATGGACGACGATTATGATAACGTATTGAATTTGTCCAAAATGATTGATATGGACAGATTAAAAATCTGGTAATCGATTTTTTCGTATAACGTACTAAATGTTGACCATAAATATTATCCACTGGATGTAATATACGTTTTGGTATGATAACAATTTGTTCTTGAAAAAATATATAAAAATATGATTTATAATGTGTAATCAATAGGATTGGTGAATGGAAACGAACTGGTGTACAATTTGTATGTAAATAATTTAGCATCCAATAATGTCGATCTAATTGCCATTCACATAGATCATATACATTTTCATTACTAATAAATTTTCCATTTTTATTATCATCATAATAATTTGTTGTTGTTGTTGTTGTTTGATCAAATTCATTTTTTTCAAAATGAAATTCCAAATTCCAATATGGTTTTTGATCGGATACAATAAATTTTTGGCTTACAATCTTTTCAAGTTTTGCTTCATATAAACCGGGCCATTTATTTGATAATGATCGTTCTGGATCATCAAAATTTAGTTTAGCTTTGGTTTGTATTACAGTTGCATAACGTAAATTTAATTGAAATGGTGGTCCATTACGTTCGATTGCTTCGTATAATGTAAATTGTATCAATACGCTACCAATTTTTAATAATTTAAATTGAATTAATTCTTTTTCAGGATCAATCATTGCATATTGTATTGGTGTATATGTTTTCAAATAATTTGATGGACGAAATAAACGACATGAATCAAAATATAACCAAACACCATTATCACGATCATTACTAACAGCAGCTAATTGATAATAAATTTTATCAAATAATAAAATTATTATCATTAAAATTGAATTCATTTTTTTGTTTCTTACTTGATCAACATTCGAATAACAAATTGGTAAACCGTTCGATTTAAATATCAAAAAACGAACAAACAAAGGAAATGACCAATCAAACAAACAAACAATTTCATTATCGAACAATCGATATTTAAATCGAATCTAATCGAAAAAAAATCGATATTAGTCGCCCATCACTAAAATTCAATTTTTTTTGAAAAGATCATCGTTTTTTCATATATAATTATCATCATCAATTTTTATTTTATAATCATCACACAAATATTTTCAATTTTTCATCATCTTCTTACTGAATTCTGTTTTTGTCTGTGTGTTTAATGTATGTGTGTATGGTGTACTTTTTTTTTTAAATATTTTCATCATAAAATTCTGTTGTTGTTCTGATTTTGGAAAGAAAAAAAACAAATTAACTATTTGTTTGTTTTGTAGGTTATGTTAATTTTGTATCTGATGAATAAATCTTATGTATAATAAGGAGGAGGGGGAAGAATAACGAAGGTGATGTGTGTGTGTGTAAAGATGTTTTGTTTTGTTTGTTTGCGTGTTTTTAGGGTCAAGAAAAAATTGTACTTGTTCAAATAGAGAGGTTCAGCCAATCATTTATCCAGTTTTCATTTTAAAAACCAAATTTGTCATTAATATTTTTGATTGATTGATTGATGCGCATACTTTGATTTTCTTTCTTTGTTAATTAAATAAATTTCCAAATTTAAAACATTTTGCCAATAATAGTTCCAATAATAAACGAAACGATTACAACAATTACCGATATTTTTATCAATAATTGATTATTATCCAATAATGATTCATTCGATTTGTTACCATTTTTTGATGATAATGATGACGACGTTGTTGTTGCTGATGATGAATGGCTGGAAAATTTACTGGCATATTGTTGTACTTGTTGTAATTTATCTCTTAATGCACGAATTTCTTCTTCGGCTAATTTTAATTTTGTTTCAGCATCCTAATTTTTTTTTATTTGATAAAAATAGAAAATTATCAATTTACATAACAAAACAAATGAAAAACTAACCTTGCTACTATTATTTGAAGGAATCGATGAAACATTTTCCATTGTTGATAATATCGATGTTGCAGCTACATTTTCACTATTTTTATTATTTTGTTGTTGTTTGTTAATTGATGAAGGAATAACGGTTGATTCTAATTTTTTATTATTACGACCAATCATCATATGATCATCAACAAAATGTTGATATTCTAAAGTTGTTGATCCAGTCGAAACAAAATCACCATTATTTTGATGAAGATGATGATGATGATTATTATTATCATTATGTTCTGAACAAGATGATGTACAAGAATCATTACCAGTTGGATAATTGGAATTACTAACACCATTAACTAAATCATCACCACTACTACCAACAATATCGGAAATATTATCATGATCAAAATTTTGTGCTGAAACATTTTTACCGCCACCACCAATATTCGCCGTTGTTGTTGTTGTTGTTGTTGATGATACTGTTGATGGTGTTGTTAAATCCAAAAATACGCATTTAAATTTTGAATCCATTATTTCATCGGGTGATGCTTGTTTAAACTATCGATATTTTTTTTAAAAAAAAAAAGGTAAAATTAAATTGAAAATCCAAAAATGAAAAACAAAAACAAACTTACCAATTCATCAACAGTAAATTGAATTTGATTAACATCAATATTATTCGGTACGATCACTGATTGTATCATAAATTTATGTTTATGTTTTTCTTGTGTTAAATCACCTGGTTGTAACATAACAGCAACTTGTACTGTTCTATTTGATGAAATAATACCATTATTTGGTCGTACACAATATTTTTTCGGTGCAGTTGTTTTAACTTTGAATGCAATAATCGAATCGGTTGGATTTGTTAATGTAAAATATTCAGTAACAACATGATCATATGGTCCTTTGAATGATATTTCATTCTTTGGATCAATATTTAATAATTGTTTTTTTCCTTCTTTTTGCATAATTGTTTGATGATGATGAATAAATTTGATATAATAATTGAAGAAAAACTTGAAATGCCGAGTTTTCTGTTCTAAAATGAAACACACACACAGTCTTTTATTTTCTAAATCGATCAATAATCTATATTGTAATTTTAAAAGAAAAAATATGATAAAAATAGATTAGATTAAAAGTGTAGACGAAATTAAAAAAAAAATCAATTAAAACAAATTATAATTTAGGTACACAATTGAAAATGACTCTTTCATTCTTTTTTTGCTCTCTTTCATCATCATCACAATGATGATGATTTTGACTATTTTAACATCAGAATTACCCAGAAAATCGAATGCAAAGAAAAATAGTTTTTTTTTTAATTTCGAGCAAAATTTTTTTTTCAAAAATTAAATTTAAAAGTTGGAAATTAATTTCGAGCAAAAAAAGTTTTACTTACATTTTATTTTCAAATAAACCTACGCGTTTTTCGAATGTAATTTTAAAACGAAAAAAACAAAATTCTGTTCATAAAATGATGATTTTTTTAATTAAAAACAACGATGAAAAAATGTTTGTTTTTCGAAAACAGAATGATGACTGACGAAAAAACCGAAAATCAAAACATTGATTTACTTAGTCATCATCATCATCATCAGCAAGTTCACATCAAATTCGTAAACAAAACCGAAACCGAAAAAAACTTCGGACAATGATAATGAAAGATTGTTTCTCCAGATGAAATTATCGTTGTCGTCGACGTCGTAATTGAGTATTTGGGTTTTAGTTTTTTTTAATTATTAATTTACTTTCTCAATTCCAAATTTACCAAAAAATAATAATAAAAAGAAAAGAAAAAAAAGAACAACAAGGGGATGACACAATAAACACAACGACACAAAGTTAGTTAGTCTTTTCTTTTCGTTTTATGTACAAAAAAACACATTATATATGTGATGTGTGTATGATGTGAGCGATTTGGCCAAATACAAGTGGTGACATCTATAGCCATTATACTTTATATGCATAACTTTTATGGCTGTGGTGGGTGTGTGAAACATTAGAAAAACGTTTTAGTCACAATAGTCACAATTAATTTCAAGTTTTTCCCATCGTAATCAAGTAGTAGTATAACTATGATATAGTATTCCAGATTATACGTTTTGTAGTAGTAGCATTAAATTATTCAGCAAATATAATCTTGTACCAGGATATATATGCAAACATTGTGACCAAAAAAAATTGTTAACGTTTTTGCGGCTTTTTTTTTCGTCGTTATAACGAAAAAAAAACAGCAACGGACATTTATGAATAAAAAAAAAAAATATGAAGGGTGTTTTTTTTTGGTTAAGAAAAAATGCTTAACATTTTTGTCCAAAAGATGGTGTTGATTTCATTCAACACAACAAGTGCAGAAGCAGCAGCAGCAGCAGCAGCAGTATTTTTACTGTTCTATTTTTTGCTTCAAAGAGTGAAAATTATTTTTTTTTTCTTCGAAAACATGTTGCCAATGTGAATGTTGTTGTTGTTGTTGTTGTCGGTTTCATCATTTTTAGCCAAGAAAAAAGAAAGAAGAACGCAACGAATTTACGGTGTACCACATATATTTCATCAGCGAACAACAACATTGCGATAAATATTCACTAGCCAGCGATATTTGTGTAAAGAAGAAATTTGATTTTTCGAAACATTCTGTGTGTTTTTCAATTGGCTCAAGATTTATATTTTATCATAATCATTATTCAAATGGCTTTGAATCCAAATTATGAACAAATTGGTAAAACATTTGTTCAACAATATTATGCTATTATGGATGATAATAATCAACGTTTAAATGTTGCCAATTTTTATTCGGTAAGATCTCTGATCAACAAGAAAAAACAATCTTAATTTCGATTTTCAATTTTCCCCGAAAACAAATAGGAAACAAACTCGTTAATGACATTCGAAGGTAGCCAACTGATGGGACGTGCAAAAATATTGGAAAAATTTCAAAGTTTAACATTTCAAAAAATTCAACATTTAATTACTGTGATTGATTCACAACCAACATTTGATGGTGGTGTTTTGGTTACCGTATTGGGACAACTGAAAACTGATGATGATCCACCACATACATTCAATCAAACATTTGTATTGAAACCAATGGCCGATACATTTTTTGTTGAACATGATATATTTCGTTTAGCATTACATGCTTAACCCTTTCTTCTCCGATTTTTTTGAACAAACCAACCAAACTTTTTATCCATTTTTTTTTTAACTTCGATCATCTTCCTAAATAATATTGTTCTTTTCTTTTTAACTTAACCTAAACAAAAATTGTCAAAAATGAATAGAGATTCTTGAGAAATCTCTTTTTCTTTCTATGGATATAAAATTTGTCGAATCTATTGATATTCATCATCGCCATCATTTTAAAATTTCATAATAAATTATCATTGATCCAAATAATAATAAAATAAAATAAAGATGATAATCCAGATGATTATTTGGCCATCATCGAATGTTTGATAAAAACAATCGATATTATCGAAAATATCGATTGTTTTAACATTATTCATTCGAAACATTCGAATTTGTTGTTTTTGCGAGTTTTTCCAATATTTTCAAATGAAATTAATTTTCAAGCAAAAAACAATTAAATTTGCAAGAAAAATTACCACTTTTTTATGGCCGAAACAACAACAACAAAAATCACACAAAATTGTGGTTTTCCTTTCCTTCCGATCGTGATTAATTTCCGCATTTTAAAAATCTTGTGCATCTTTCAATTTCTTTACATCTGTCTCTCTCTTTTTTTCCTATTCAAGCCTTGAACGCCTTTATTGATTGATTTAAAACTTTTTCAAAAACGAAATTTTTAACAATTGTGTGATTGATTTGAATAATTTCATTTTAACAACAACAACAACAACAACAACAAAAAAGTCTAAAAATAATTTCAAACCGCATTTGTGAAATTCAAAACAAGAAAAAAGAAGAAAAAAATTAAGATTGATTTGTATGAAAAGAAATCTAAGGGTTTATTGTTGTTGTTGTTGTTCCGTTATATTTTTTTTGGTTCCGTCATTCATGAACAAGGTACTCACAAAAAACATTAGTTGTTGTTTGTTTGGTTGTCTGTTTGTTGTTGTTACAAACAACCAAACAAACAATCCTGGATGGTGATCAATTTTCAAGATGTTTCAAGATGCTTATATTCAATTTGAATTTGAAATTTTTTTTTAGTACTTTCTTTGATTTGATTAAGTTGATTTTTTTTCACTTTTTCCTTTCTCTTTCAGTTTGGTCATCATCATCATTACCGACTTTCAGATGTTAAAATTATACTGCAATAAAAATAAAATTCTTTTGGTTGAAGAAAAGGTAAGAAAGAAAGAAATAATGATTATTATTATCATCATGCAATCAATCTTTTTGTTGTTGTTGTTGTTTATTTCAGTTGAATAAAAAAAAACTTGAAAACTACCGGGTCTTATGGCCATGATGATGAAGATGATACAACATCTCGTGATTCAAATCAAACGAGAATATGATACATTATTGTTGTTGTTGTTTGTTTGACAACAAGTTTATCAACAACAACATTCGCAACAGCAACAACAACAACAAATCTTATGTTATTTCTGTTTTCTTCAACTGAACAGAATTGTTCAAATTGATGACCTAATTATATCTGACATTTTTGTTTGATGATCATAATGTAATTAATTTTGGGATGAGATTTTTTTTTTGTTTTTCCCAAAATCAGAAAAATTTCAAAAAAACTTTTACGAAAATTTGACAAAATTATTTGAGCGCCGCTCGTGTCGAATATTTGAAACATTTCGAATGTTCGAAAGTTCGAATAGCAAAAACAACCTGTATGATTTGTTTATTCTTCAAAAATCATTTTTTTGATGTTTTATCAATTCAATGAGCTTATCTGATTATGTTAATGATGATAAAGATGATGCTGACGATCATCTTCATTTTAATCCGAGTACAAAATTTGTTTGTTTGTTACAATATTCAAATTGATTTCAAAGTGGAAAAACAAAAAAAAACGAAAGTTTCCCGCAAGAAACAAATACTTGATCCAGAAGCATAGATATTTTGTCACATTTTAATGTTGTTGTCGTTGTTGTTGATGATAAAGTGTAAGAAGAAGAAAAAAAAATCAATAAATTTTATCTTAATCATCATCAAATGACCGTTCACTATTGATAATATTCATATATGTTAAACTTCCGAATTGATCTTGATTCAAATGATGATGAAGAAGAAGAAAAAACGAAAGAAACTAATTGATGAACGAAAAAACCGAACCAAAAGTAGATTTTTGTGCGAAAAGAGATGATAAATGAAATCAAAGTCAAAAACTAATTGAAAGTAAAAAATGATTGAATGAAGATTTATAAGGTTAAGCATCCGTGATCATAATCAATGACATATACGCACACTTAGACAGGTAAGTAAAACACGGTGGTCAAAGATGTATTTTGTTTTCTTCCTTTTTTTTTCGTTTGTTTGACCCCAAAGAAAATTTTACATTTTTGTTTTCGTTTATTGCCATAAAGATAACTTGATTTTCTCTTGACTTTTATTAACTTTTATTTTTATTTTTTTCCATTGAATATATTTCACCGAGAATGTCACTGATACGGATAAACTAACTAACTAACTGTGTGACCGACAACTATGCAAAGTGATTAATTGAAGTAAAGAAAAGTATTGATTTTTATCATCCATGATCTTCATTAGATGATGATGATCATCGATGGCAAGATTTTTTTTGGAGAGAATACAAGTTCCAAAACAGAATGGATCAAATCATTTCGGACTATATAAATGATCAATGTTTTCCAAATGAAAACAAAAAAAAAATCATATTACAAATTTTCATTCGAATTTTACTTAAAAAATTTTCTCAAATTTTTAAATGTGAGTTGATTTTTTTATTTTATTTTCTTTGAATTTTTTTCATTAATCAATTTTATTTTGATTGATTTGATTTGATCAAATCGATTTTCAGTAGATCAAATAAACAGACAAACGAAAATACAAAAATGCTTTTCCGTAATAAAATTTCATTGACATTTTTGGCTATTGTTGCCTTACAAATGATTTTGATCCAAGATCAAATGACAGCTGTTAGTGCACGTAAAAAATGGTTACGAAAATTATTGTTTCTTTGTACATTGTTGAATAAAAGTAAGTTAAAATTAATGATAATAATAATATTCTTCCTTATTTATCATTTGATTAATGTTGATTTTTTTATTTGTTTTTGTTTTAAATCTAAAGAAACAAAAATCATTCCATTACCATTGCCGTTGCCGATCCCAATTCCATTGAGGTAAATTTTAATCAATGATTGATTGATTGATTTCAAATTTATTAATTTTTTTTCAAATTCAAATTTTCATCTAATGATGAATAGAATTCAGAAAAAAGATCATGTTGAAGTTGTGGAAAAAAGTCCAACATATGTTCATCAAACATATGAAGATGTTTATCCTGAACCATATCATGGTGATGGATATGGTGATAGTTATGGTGATTCATATGCTGCTGCTTCATCAAATGGTGATGATGCTGTTTCACATATATCACCAGAATCAACAGATGATTATGAAGAATCACCAAGAAGTAAAATTGTTTATAAACCATCATCATCATCATCATCAAAATCAGTAAGACGTATTCGTTACAGTAATAGATCATAAATTGTCAAATCAAAACCAAAAAAAAAAAATTGATGAATCTCTCCTGGTGAAAGATAAAAAATATATTTAACCAAACAAACAAACAAAAAAATCCCGTTGATTTCATAAAAATCATTGGATAATATCATTGGCCAAAAAAAAAACAAATCATCATCATCATCATTAACATTATCATTATGATCAATCTTATCATTCGACCAACAATTTTTTCTTAGTTTTTTTTGTTTCATTTCCAATAATAATCCTCACCGTCATCATCATCATCATCGTCATCATCATCATCATTATTATTATCCTCATCATTATTTCTAGTTGCAAGATTTATCCTCATTCACAATAGACGATTATCAATTATATACATCATCATCATCGCCCCCGCATCAATTTACCTCTCTCTCTCTTTTTCTCAATCATTCTTGCAGTGAAAATCAATAATTTTTTTTTCTCTCCCCTCTGATCACTTCATATATTTATATGAAATTACAATTTTTGATATATAAATATAAATATCCCCAATTATCATCATATCCTCAACGGTTTTTTTCTCCTTTCTTCAATCATTTCTTAAATTTATTCATTTATTCTTAATTAACATTTTTTTCATATGTTTTTATGTTTTCAATAAAAAATTTATTTTTTTTCTGTTATTTCTGTTGTCTGGGTTTTATTTGGGCAACATTATCCCCTAAGAAAAAAAACAACCGAATATTGGATTAGTTTTGTTTGTAAACACACTGGTTTTTCTGGGGAAAAACAACAAAAATCCTATAGTCACGCTTTGGTTAAAATAAAGAAGAATTTCATAATCGATATGTATGTGTGTGTACATCGTTGTCTTTTCTAATAACAAGATTAAACAACATCGAACGAGCCAAACAACAACATTTTGATTGAATTGTTAATTAACCATTCAGTATCTTGAAAAGGAAAACTGATTTGGAAATTATCTGATGAAAAATGAATCCAACAGTTTGTTTGTTTGTTTGTTTGTTCACTCTTTGAATTCATCACCCAACCAAAAATAACTTTATTTTATTTAACCGGGCACGTTATTTTCGTCGTCGTTTCTAATTTCAAAAAGAAAGTTTCGGTCAATTTTCTTTTTTTTTATCATCATTTTTCATCGCCAATTAAGATCCACCACATAGTGAATGATTGACGAAAGAAAGATAAAAGAATGAGAGAGAGANTTTTTTTTCTCTCCCCTTCTGATCACTTCATATATTTATATGAAATTACAATTTTTGATATATAAATATAAATATCCCCAATTATCATATCCTCAACGGTTTTTTTTCTTCTTCAATCATCATTTCTTAAATTTATTTATTTATTCTTAATTAACATTTTTTAAATATGTTTTTATGCTTTGTTTTCAATAAAAAATTTATTTTTTTCTGTTATTTCTTGTTGTCTGGGTTTTATTTGGGCAACATTATCCCCCAAGAAAAAAAACCAACCGAATATTGGATTAGTTTTGTTTGTAAACACACTGGTTTTTCTGGGGGAAAAACAAAACAAAAATCCTATAGTCACGCTTTGGTTAAAATAAAGAATTTCATTATCGATATGTATGCGTGTACATCGTTGTCTTTTCGAATAACAAGATTAAAGATGCTCAAAACAACATCGAACGAGCCAAACAACAACATTGGATTGAATTGTTAATTAACCATTCAGTATCTTGAATAAACTGATTTGGAAATTATCTGATGAAAAATGAATCCAACAGTTTGTTTGTTCACTCTTTGAATTCATCACCCAACCAAAAATAACTTTATTTTATTTATTCGGGCACGTTATTTTCGTCGTCATTTCTAATTTCAAAAAGAAAGTTTCGGTCAATTTTCTTTTTTTTATCATCATTTTTCATCGCCAATTAAGATCCACCATATAGTTGAATGATTGACGAAAGAAAGATAAAAGAGAGGAAAATCGATATAGGAATAATCAATCGATAATCAACCAATCAATACACCACCATAACAACAACAATCGATCAAAATCAATTTTGAGAAAACACATCGGTTTTGATTTCCAAAATTCAATTCATTTTTCCATTCATTCATTTCGACGACCAAGACGATAATGTACAATATGGAGGGGAAAGAATACTCACTCTATTATCGTGTGAATTAATCAGTCGAAAAGTGGAAAATGGAAATTGGAAAAAAAATATCCAATTTTAGCAATAATTTTCCATTATTAGTTTCGACTTGATTATGATTTTCTTTTGAAAATTTATTCACGTTGTGAACATTATCGGTTGTTGGATGGATAAATGATGAAAGGAGATGGGGGGAAACAAAAACGATGTATCAATGTGTTTAGCCAGTCATTTTTCATCATCATCATCATTCAATTCATTCATTCATTCTCATTCATCTTGATTAGTGTGTTTTGAATATCAAATTTTGTTTTGTTTTTTTGTTTTTGACTGGTCAGCAAAAATCTTTGGTCATTTCAAATGTATTTTCCATAAATTAGATTTGGTTTCGTTTGGCTGTTGTTGTTGTTTCTTTTGTTTACCATTTTCTTCTCCGGGATTAGTGATGATGATGATGCCTTGTATGGTTGTTGTCAGAAGAACAAAAAACATTCATAATATTTTACCATAAACAATGAGTTTTTTTCCCGAAAAATTTCTTTGGTTTCCCCCCCCCCAAAATAAACAAATAAAATCCAGGAAATTATATCATCGATTTTGATTATTATAAACAACAATAATAAATCCAATTAACAGTCCGTTGTTTGTTTGTTACCTGTTTAGAAAAAAGGATAATAACAATAAATTTTTTGTTGGAAAAATTATAATCGATTTTTTTATTACCCAAAGTTGTTGTTGTTGTTGAAAATTAAACATCTTGAATAAATAAATAAAAAGAAGAAATTTTCTTGTTTGTTTTGTTTTGCTCCATCGGAAACTTGAAGATTTTCGCTTTTTTTCAAATTGAATGATAACGGACATGACCGAATCAAGATCAAATTTCAAACAAAACAAACGTAAAAAACACGATGATTATGATGAATAATTTGTTTGAATCATCCGGTTTGTATTTTATTTTTAGAACAAATAATCATTTCGGTTTTTCAAAATTTCATCAACGAAATTGGTTTGTTCGTTTGATCATCGAAAAAAATGAAACAATCGAATCGATTATTCGAATCGATCAATCGATTGTTGATTCGTTCATTACATTAATCGAATGATTTCCTTTCTTTTTAATGTGATTAACCGATTTTGGTCGGTTTTTTTTTCGGAAAAAATCTTCATAATGGAGTTGTAAAATTTTTTAAATTTTTTTTGTTTTTTGTTTTGCGTTTTGGTTAATAGATTTATATCCATCGGTTAATGATGCATCCATGATGATGATGATGATACACCCAGAAATCATCATATTGTGCAAAGAAAAAAAAAGTAAAAATAATAATAATTTTCACATGATAATTTCATATATCTTCTTTCTCTCCCCCTTTCTTCGAAAAAAAGAAGCAGAAATATTCCAACCAATATTGTTTTATGAATGAAATGAAATTATCAAAATCCATTATGGCACGAAAAAACATTACCATTATGAACAACATCTTCAAACAACAACAACAGCAACAGCAAAAAATTGACATCGAAAATAAAACATCGTGTCGGATGATGATGATCGAGTTGAGTGCCAAAATAATAAATAATGATGATGATGATGATGCTAAAATACCGAAAAGAAAAGAAACATCCATTGTTGTTGTTCAAATAAACTGAAAATACATTTTTTTCCATTTCATTCCATTTCCATCGAATCACTTGGTGAAATATTTTTTTTCCATCTAAAAAAAAATATGAAATTATTATTATTTTAGGCTAATCTATGATTTTCATATATTTACACAATGTAGATTTTCTTCTTTTTCTTCGTAAACGAAATTTTCTCTTCCAAAAACCATCATCATCAGCAAAGCGAAACATCTCAAACAAACAAACAAATCATATCATCCTTTTGAAGATGGATAATTTTTGGATGAACTGTTTCCACTCACTCACTCAACTCACTATCGATAGTATTTATTTCTCGCTCGATTATTACATTCGTTCATCACCTGTCATATTCACATTGTTATTGTTGTTGTTTTGGTTGTTGAAATGTGGAATTTTTTTCTTTGGATCAGGAATGTTTCAGTTTTTTTTCTTTCTTGATTTTCTTAGTAGACAGATGATGATTGCTGTGTTTAAATGTGCCATGATGATGATGTCCGACTGAACATCATCGATCACAATCCGACACATTTTATGATTGGATTTTTTTTTCTACTTCGAAAAATACTTTATTATCATTCATCGAATATGATTATTGATGATGATGATTACCACGACGATGATGATAATAATGGCGGCGAATTTGATGAATTTTTGTTTTCGGCCAAAATTCATGATCTATATGGGGAAATTGTTTTTTTTTTGTTGCTGAAATTGATTCCCAGAGAAATTTCTTCTTAAATTTTTTTTCTGGCAATTTTCTTTATTTATTATCCCCCGGCAAATCATTTTCTTTTGAAACAATCTGGTTTTGTTTTCAACCGAAAACGGTAGCTAAAATGCTGATGATTTCCATATTAAAAAAAAATTGAAAAATTTGTTTTTTGTTTACGGAAAATTTCTCGACAACAAACGACGATGAATGACGATATTTATGGATAAAAATATTTTTTTTCATTTTACAAATGATTATGATGATGATTGTATTCAATTCAAAACGAAATAAACATCCCTCGTGATCATCGAGATGATGATGGTTACCATTTCATGTTTACCGGTCATTAAAAAAAACCAACCGAAAACGAAAATTTTCCGGCTGTCCGTCTGCTCGAGCTCTCTGGCTCCACCGAAAACAATATCTGCCGAGCAAAGAAAGAAATACCGGATAGGAAAATTGTCTTGTCTTCTTCGTTGTTGTTGTTTTTCAACTGGAAATCAATCGATTTTTTATTTATTTTATTTTATTTTATTTTTATTATTTGATTGATCATTGTTGTTTATTTATGGATTTTACTTTCCAAAAACTTATCATCATCGTTCACGATAATGTTGAT